CGGCGCCTGAAATAAGACCCGTCCTAGACGTCAGTACATACCTGTTTTTGCGCTGATCGAAAATCTGTCCACCCGTTTGCATGCATCCGAAGGAGCAGGAAGGACACGATGATACTTGGACCATCTGACAGGGTTGTGCATGGAACCTAAATGGAGTAAAACGCCCTCATGGTACCCTTCAATACCGAATTTGTCAAACTCTGTTGCCGCTAACCACAATCGAGCATATTCGCTCGCGTACTAGCGATCAAGCCGGCTAGACGCCAAAATGTGTCGTCGCACATAGCAGTGATAGGTATGATGAGCACTATAAAAGTGGGCAGGCGCACCGCTGTCGTTTCCGGACGGCAAAGCATTTAAACGCTGTCCTGCAATCTGTACTTGAGTAAAATCATGCGCAGTCCTGGAGAATCGTGATCTATAGCAGTAGGCGAATAGGACTAGTCCACAAGATCGGTAAAAGTATAGTTAAGGTCACCCACAAAGACCTGCTTTCCAGTCGGAATAGTATTTATAACGACCGACGTCTGCCCTTATCGGCGGGGTCTGCACATCCCTACCCGAATGGCCACTTCTTACTGGGGTTAGCCAATTCAGGGCTCCGACTATTCGATTTCGGAGGTTTATGCTTCTACGAGAGGCAGAGCTCGGTGGCACCGGGATCTGGCTGGTACCACTTAAAATTATGCGTCACACATTTTGAATGAACCTGAGTTAGTCGCAAGGGAGATCGAATCGGCAATCGACAAATCATTTCTTCCCTAGCTACAGTTTGTCGACGACTCCTCCATTTTCCTTGAGCATGCCCATCACTTAGCACCTGCGTTGGTGCTAATTAATTGATATAGACAATTATCGGGCCGTTCACGCCCAGCCTGCCAGGAGAAAGTTTATTTTATTCAACACGAATGTCAGGCTCGAACGGTATGAAGGCATCTCAGTCTTACAACACGGTAAGACGAAACGATACCTGGGCTATGAAGTGGGGATGGGGGCATCATCTAATTGAACTGGGCGCTACGACTTCAGAAACTCCGTATACAGCTTTTCACTGCCGCGAAAGTAGTAACTAGTGTGCGAAATCGAGTTCTCATTCTTAACGCGATTGTTTTACCGAGTATCATATTCACCGCGGCCATCTTCGATGTTCCGGATTGGGCTGGAACGGAAATATCTCGGCTGTATCGTCAAACCATTTGGGCGCACGCTTCTACGCCTACCGTCCGTCGGCAAAAAAAATTAACCCGCGTCTACTCTTTATTCACGGAAGGCGGGCGGGGTTGGTCTGGCCTCGTTCGAGGTAGCCGCCAAAACTCAGCGATCGAAGCACGCGTTGCGATGGCTAACGCAGCCACATGAAAATGTTTTACAGTATGGCGGCGCTGGGCATATAGCGTGTGGTGTTCCACATCAAAAATAGTCCCGGAGATACATCCGCTAATTTATGCAATGTTCGCCATCGACCGCTAACTCAACAGTTACTTTCTGGCGCAGGTTCTCGAACAGCTCCTGGACCCCTGCCCCGAACAAGTGCCGTCGATTTGAGCCAGGTCGGACGCCCATCACGCTTGATTGTCTGAAGGGTCGCGCAGTCTGTGGAACGGCAACGACTACATAAAATCATTCCATCACACGTTATCAGACCATTCCGCTGTTTTTTATTTACGGATGGATGCACTTGTCGCTTTATGGGGATGCTTCACTGAAATGGAAATCTAAAAATTCTAGGGCGCGACGGGAAGACCCCCGCGCGAGCCATATATGATTGGATACACCCATGTTCACTACGCAGTCTTTGGATCCGACAAACGAGGCCACAGCAATTTCTCTTTACGTTCCCATCGCTCGGCGGAATTTCGCCCAGGCCTATGCATCGTAAGTTACAATGATGGGCTGCTTCGATCCTGCTCACGTCACACCACTGTGCTGTAGGTGCGAAAAGACAGAGCCTGGGCTTGTCTTACGTCATTAACCTCCATTTCGGCGGGCGTACAGTGGTCACGGATCCGAACTAATTTTATTGTCGGCTCCTGTCGGGACCCCATTGGGTCCGGGGGCTCAACAATTTTGTGTCCACCAAGATGCCAATGGTATAATTTGGTCAATTGGAGGCGATTTACCCGAGCTACGGGGATCGCCTGAGCGAGTGTATCACTACTAGGGGCACACGCAACATCGTACTTAGGTTTATCTCGCCCACCCGGAGCTCCATCGGTTGTCTTGGAGTGTGCCGGAGATGGTGGCCAGTGTCGATGTGTGGAGAACGATTTTGCGGCAAGCGTTCCACGTATATAAACGCCTTTTGCGCCGAGCCCTCCAGTTCTGGTTGAGGGCCTACGACGCGCAGGCGATTACATACAGTTGGCACTAAGCTTTATCAGACCAAAAGCATTTCCTTGTTTGGAAACACGCAAACGGACTAACGGAGTATCAAGCATAGACACGCTATCGTATCGCAACCAAGCAGCTAAAATAATACCATTCCGGCCGCACGCTGGACAACATTTGCCGTAAGTTGCTGCAATGCCGGGGGTGCAAAGAGACTGCGGCGCATATTTTCTGGGACTTCCCCACCGCACAAGCATGTTGGTGTCAATTAATAGGACACTGGACCGGAGGGTGTGCGACGAACGTAGTCGTTACCGACATCTTCAGCCACTGCGCCAATCGCCAAGCCCGCCAATTCCACGTCAGTTTAGTCTGCGGCTGCAAAACCGTAATAAAGATGCATCCGACGCCTCCGCAACAGAATTCGAACGGATTTGGTTCTTCTAAATCTCCATCTGCAAAGAACATTTGTGGTCCGAGCGAAAATTTGCGGTCTTTCGTGAGTTCTCTATCCGCAAGCGTCCAAACGTACTGAAAACGCGGTGTTCGCCAGCTGTGGGAAATCGCAATACGCGAAGATCGAGCCGCGGCTACTGCTATTTGTAGGACCCGACTCCATGCATGTCTCGAAATACTGATTCAAGAGCCCCATGGACATTTGCTCTACGCGGATGTCATCCACGATTTGCTGCCGTGACCGGCGCTTATATCCTGGCTCAGGACTTTACAGGCATCTTGCACACCTTTGTTATGTCAATAAATGACCATGTAAATGCTACTTCTTTCCTAGCCATTGTATTGGTTTTGATTCCTTTTCTTCATTCATGCAGCCAAAATATCCATTGTTCTGACGTCCCTGACCTCTGCAGTCATTAAATCGACGTTCATTTGCTCGTCAATCATACAGCTTTGTGTCTTCGTCCCATGCAGAGAACCTAACACCAATTGTATCGCTCATAGCCATCGCCACTCGAAAGGATTGTCGGAATTTGCTCTGCCGTGTAAATCTCGCTGGGAACCTTTGAAGACATAGTAAATGGATACACGTTAGAGGGAGATCAAGTATGGCCCTATGCAGCGACAAAAATGGTTTTCTGAAGTCCTCCAAGGCTTCAGAAACTGCTCGCTAACGGCAACGACTTTTAGATTACAGCCTAAACTGTTTGCAACTCGACAGGCCTTGAGTTGCGGTGCGCACCTGGAAGTGTAGTTGTGTCAACTCCTAGGCGAGAAATTGACACGACTCGGCAAAGGGTGATTATGCATGTATGTTTACATGTACATTATTTTTTTACACATCTATGTATAAACATATTTACATATATTTTAGTATCGTAAAAAGATGAGTTAGTTGGTGCAGTATGCTCGGTGCTGCTTAGTGATGCAGAACTCACACGAGCGTGTATCTATCTAACTGGAACATACGATGAAGTCAATCTTGCAGCACCGGGCATTGCCATGGAGATCCACAACACAAGGCACGGCAGCAGGTCCACCCAGCCGCCCTTTGCCACGTGTAATACATTGACTTTCCTGTCTCAGGAGCAGAAAACAGCAGAAAAGAAGAGCTTTCGGCGCTGACGCAAGTCCTTCAAGCCGAAGACATGCTGTATATCGACAAGACTTCGTCTGCTACTGTGAGATTACTGGTAACGCATGCTCTATGACTAATGATCAGGCTAGAGGAAATTTCGCTGGAGAACAGCGTCTAAAACGGACGTGAGTGGATAGCGGCCTACAGACAGCACTGACTGTACTACCATCTGTGACCCACGACCTGCAGCAAAGGTTGGCACAAGTATATGCTTGTAATACCAACGTACGGTGCTCAGGCATAGTTGGTAGACGTGTTTTATCATGTTGTTTGGGACATTTAAGCGTATTACGGGACAGTCCAAAGGGATGATCTCGAACGGCCGTACAAGTTCGATTTTGCTGTCACAACCAATATATCTGTCTACCCACGCGAGAAGTGGTCAAACCATGGGCGCCTGCCACTCCTTTTGTTCGCTTAGCTGACTTGAACGAATGCATGTAGAGTTCATCGACAATCTGTGTAAGGCACGAACGGTGTTCGACACTTGGGACTCACACATGCACCGCATATTAAGCTGGCCAAACAAGACACTACAATGTTTACCTATCATAGAAGGGCCTCATGCAAGATGTATTTGCTGCTATTGCACACTCACGCACACATCCGACAGCTAGCTACGAACAATATTGGTGGCTTCCGTTCAAAGCGTTCTTGAGCTGCAGCTTGAGCGGTCTTTTTCGGGTCACATTGCAACGCTTTACTCTCCACGACGTCTGATGATCATACAACCAGTCCTCTACCCCCGCGGACTGCCTTTTACAGTCGTCCTCTGTACATCTACTGTGGCTAGTACGATCGTACCGTGTGAGTGTTCGATTGGCCTGGGCAGCGGGATCAATAAAAGTAAACGCGTTTGTCGGAACGCTTTGTATCACTGCTATGCTGCTTACTTCGTGGTGGGCTAATGTTGCGTGCGCACATGCAATCAGCAGGAGCTATTAGTAGTAGGAACGGAAGCATGCATGGCTTTTATGTATGACTTGAAATGGATGGATACGTTTGTTTGTTGTTATTGCCTTATTCCAGCTATCGCTCTACCTCACATTCTTCCAGGCAGGCGGCTCACTCAGTCGCACTAAATCTCTGAGAGCTGATGCAAGTCCTGGTAGCGGATAACCGCACCTGCAAGTTTCAGATACGTCTGCTGAGAACGTTCATTTTTACTCAGTGCAGCGCCAAATGCATCATTCAGCTCGTCGACACTGAATGTATTCACCAGCAATGAGGCCATCTCTTGCTTGGCCCTCCCTTCGTTCTTGTTGCGGATTAGAACGTAGTCGTACCACGTATTCAACTCTGGACGCTCGAAAATGCTTCGTCCTGGCTTGTCGAGCTCAAGCAGCCTGAACACTTTCATCGCACTACGTCCATCATCTTTCCAGCATTCTCTCTGACTCTCCGCCAGTCTAGTCGCTAGTTCTCGATCATCGGATATCAGCAAGCCCTTCTCAATCTTTCTTGCCAGTTCCAGATGCGAAGAGTCCTTTGCAAGCAGCTTAGCAGGTGATATCTTGTACTGTGGATTGTCGTTGTTGAAACGGTCAATGCGCGCAACCCAGGAGTAAACCGTTGGGCTGAACAGATCATCATCCACTCTAGCTTCGAGGTACTTCTGCAGAAACAAGTCTTCCAGTCTTTTTCGGCTGAAGCGTCTAGCTGGAGATCGAGTGAGCTTGTCCACTTTGGAGCTTAACCACTCCGAAAGCCTCTTGAAGGGCGACACGCTAATCTGAGAGCTAGAGATAGCTCTTTCCTTGACCTCCTCACCCCTCAGAAAACGCCCGGAAGTTGTCCACGACGCAACGCCAGGTGTCGCCTCTATCGATGCCACCTTTTTCGTCACAGGGTTTGCTTGTGCCCACATTGCAGCTAGCACCATAAGCGCATGTAGCAGTACGACACGCGGCCTGTGCATGGTGATTGAGCGGAAGGTGATGAATGGAGGAAAGTCAAGAGAGAGATTGGTAGAGTGCCTCTTTGAACAAAAATCATTTAGTAAGCAGCGAACTTTGCAACAAAAAGTACAATGCACTTGGTCGCGTGCATAGTACGTCGCTGCGTTGAGCAGGTACATCCTCTGATTGACCCCATAACGAGTACTATACCCGCGTCTCACGGTAACCATACAGCAAAACACGTCTAGACTGATGTCATTGGAAGCAAATTGTATTCGTCTGCAACAAATGATAGCCTTCAAGTCACTTCTGCATCGCTGCGTAACAGACATGTGATATATCTGGCAGGCTGCACGACAATAATCACACCAAGATCTGCGCCGTTACCGCATTAAAATAAGACACTGGGCCGTATCTTTTAAAGCATCGCAAAGGCCTTGATGACAAATCACCGTCTATTTTTGCTGGATTAAGTAGGGTATCAAATCTTCGAATGGCTGACAGATACTGTGCTTCCTCTGATGACTTCTCCCGATATATTATAACCTTCGCTAATAATCAGTTTTGGACGTCCACCGAATTCGGTCTTTAGTTGTATTTAATAAGCGCTAGCTCATAATTTACAACTGGTAGCCATATAGCGAGGTATAATTTTTGAGGTGGAGAATGTGTACCCAAAGTAGGGGAGTTAAGCATTTGAAGCCGAGCATCGAGGGCAATTCGTGTGGCGGTGTTACTGTGAGTGCTATCCTGTAGGCTGCGGAGTAGATCGGACACATACTGGTGATTTCCCGGGACAGATAATGCAAGGCGCAACACTACCTAAGATTGAAACCAGCTCGCACTATGTCAATTTGTTGCATCAGCTTCTCCTCTTCTGCTATAGCTCCTTCTTTTCATTCCTTCTCCATGTATCGGGTGACCGGTCGCTTGTGCTGTCATAGTAAAAGGTGCTTGCACTGAGCACAGAGTAGATGCTGCCTCGAGATTACACGTACACGCGTCGTACAAAGGAAGCTGTTAATAAATCCTATTGAGTCTTCAGTGAACTATGTCTGAATACAAACATGTAGCGTAGATATCTGCCCGCCACTCATTGCGTTCTTCCGTCGCGACTCAGCTATATTGATTATTATGAACAATCCAAGTCAACAGATGAGCTGCATATTACTTCCGCAACTCGATATTGCTTATTTAGCAAATATTGTTAGAATATTCTGCTTGTCCTGACAGAATATTTGTATTTGATATTTACCTTGTGAAAACTATCATGTAACGGAAGCACTCCGTTACGCTCCTCCTACACCGCGCTCTTAATTCTGGTTTCAAGCTCTGGCTGAGCTCTCTCTTCCTCTCCACCAGCGTTGATTGGCTCATCAATGAAGAGTCAGCCAGAAATTACACCGTTCTTCTAACGAAGAACATTAATTTCAGCAAACGACCAGGATAGATTTGTGTCTCTGACCTTGACGCCTAGCCTGATCCGATATACAGAAAAAGTGAGAAGCGTTGTAAGTGGTCTTTGGGGCAATTATTCTGCTGATTTCGGGTAGTTTTTATGGGGGTGAAAGAGCCGTCAGTGGTTCTGGAATAGGTTTTATTTTAAATTCTACATTATTGATTTTAATATTGTATGTCTGGCAAATGTTTTTAGTTGTAACAACTTTTGTTTTTTATTTTAGGGAAACGTTAATCACCCACTACCATTTGTTAGCCACCCACGATCCCTATAAATTACCGTATAATCAATTTCTCCTTCCGATCGGTATGATTGAAGAAGATTGAAGTATTTCAGAAGTATTTTACAGTCTCGTTTGCAGATGATAAAACACCAGAATTGTAAACTGATACGTGTATCTTTGAGTCGGTGAAGTGTGGAAATTTTTGTAATGCCGGCGACGTGTTAAAATTTAGTATTTAGATGTTTAGCTTACAAGACAAACTGCAATATCCGATTTAATAGCCTCCTTCACCATCAATCTTGATAGTCTTGACACCAAGTCATTAAATCATCGGATAGATATTGATTTACTAGAAGAAAGCCACGAAGTGGTGTTATGGTGCCGACGTAGCTCTTGGATGCAAATTAAAGCCTCACACTCATCGCTCGCAAAAGTAACTTTGTTGAATCCACACTTCAGGCATCCTAAACCACATCAGCGAGCTCAAACGACAAGTTGTGTTACTTCATTGGCGTCAAGTGTAACTACAAAGAACCTTTGTGATACTAATGTCGTTCAGTCACATTCCAGAGAACCTTCTTACAGTTTTCTTTTTGTGGCAAAACACATAAACAACCCGCACATACCAGAGAACCGCCTTAAAGCTTTTTTGTGGCAAAACATACAAGGAACCCGCACATACTTCAGTCCCTTTCCAACAACAGTTTCTCCTTTCATGACACGTGCACTGGAGTATTGCAATGGCTTTGTCTTGCTCTTCCCTTCTGCGTGCTGGAGTAATTCAAGCATTTGTATAAACACAAATGCCACGGGGTGATTAAATGTATGCGACTTACAAAAGAACCAGGTGATGTACTTATCTCGTGTCGGTTCTGTCCCTCACTGTCAGTTAACGCCACTCCTTGCTGCTCGGGTTTCAGTGTATAGTGAAGGAAGAATCTTAACAATAAGTGACCAGCTTCGTAGACTTAAAGATATGCACAAGATAGGGAATAAAGATCCGGAGCTCGCTCTTTTGATATTGTATCCAGTTCGGAGAACTGAATCAAGTTTCAAAACAATATGCAACAGCAGTGGCTGAAGAAGAAATATGATGATGTTCATTTCTTTATTTACCTAGTACAGCACCACTTGGGCAACGCGACCAGCCTTTGCTTTTGAGCTTCTAGCATTTGCTGATGTGATTACATTCACCTTTGATCGATTCTAAGCCAACCACATGCGTGCATCACAACATTGACCTGACCGCAGAGTGATGCCTATCGTGCTAATCTACCTATGAGGGCGAACAGGCTAGATCGTAATCAGTATGAGTAAGGTACACCTAACCGCCTTATTTACAGACAGACGGACACACAGATAAGTACGATTTGTTATTGCTTGACCATGAAACGGTGGTACAATAGAGTCTGTAGTCGTCTATCACCCATGCAGAATGAGTCGACTTTGTCCATATTCGTGGGTAAGCAAACACTACTCACTTTTCACGAATGGCGAGGGCGTTTGAGGGAGAGAACAGTTTGTAAACAAAGGAGCTATCTTCTAGTTGTGCTGACACACACAACAATCGATATGAGAACATCAAATATAAAATGGTTCAAAGCTTGCCAGCACGACGTATCACTTCCATAAGCGGGTGTCTAATGACGTGGCTTTCAGGTAAATCATAGAATTCTAGAGTCGCGAAGAACGCCTGCACTGTTTATGAGCATGTGTTCGTAACTACCGCTCCGACGTTTACTGGAGGTGCCGTGTTCGGGTGCTCTCCACCACCGATTGGCACAATTGCTACATCTTCCGAATGAATCGTGTCCAAGTATTACTGCTTGGCATGTTTATTTCGCGTGACATGACATATTAGACAGCTCGAAACGGCTATTGATCCTTCAGATTTGTAGTTGGTCAACCTGATACATACATTGTTGTTAATTGTATTGAATAAAACTGATCGTCATCCGACGTTAGAAACCATGGGAAAGGTCGTTACTGAGCCCTCACCCTTTTGTTACCCAGCTACTACCCGCTAGTAATTGAAATTATTTTCATCGATTTGTTGCCAGAAATCAGCGGTTTGGGTCAATAGCGAAACATGCAATCGAATGAACAAAATGACATTACACACACTTGAGCGCTATTACAGTGTCGCGGCTCAATAGTGTTACATATCGTGGAAGTAGACGATTGATATACGCCGGGCCACGCTGGTATTGCTCATGGAGTCCATAATTATATGAGGAAAGTCCGTCAGTTCGTGCACAGTGCCGTTTCAGTCAAAATATACGCTCCTAGGCGCTGATGCCATCGTCCAGCTAGCTCCATAGCGTCATTTAAAGGACCTAGTGGATTGTAAGATATTCACGAAACCGTTGCTCAAGAATGTGCGATATGCAGAGTGCATGAGAAGATATGTGGTCGTGTCTACTACGATAGTATACAGAGTGAATTCGTCTTTTACAAAAAATGAGTCAAATTTGTGCAAAGTGCTTGACGACGCGTCAGGGACTAATATGCTGACGTTAGGTTATGCGTCATCGATTGTTGCAGTAGTGCCCTGAAGAGAAAATGCAAGAGACTAGCACTCAACGTGAAGGCAGCTGCTTCGTGTAGAGAAGAACTACACATTTATGTGTGACCTTTACTCCAACATCAACATGATACAAGATTTGCCCGCAACCATTCCAGTGGACAACGACGGCAGCTATGAAGCATAAAAGTCATGGTTATGCACTTTTCGAGGAGACGATAGCAGATTGAGGCGAAATCCGTTGGAGCCGGGGCACGCTTGCTGCATTGGAGCTGGGAAGATTTTACATCCAGTACTGCTGGCATAAGATGTAAGCTTTTAAGTTCCACACACTATCACTTAGAGGTGTGACAAGAGCTAGGATCTTCACTGCTTCATATTTCTTATGGAAAAAGCCAGGGCCGTTTACTGCTATCTGTCTCATGGCATCGGGCTGGGTATCAGGAACAACGAAATGGCCTCCTTTTTTGTGTGCGCATCGGTTGAAACTGTTTTAGGTTGCTGCGAAGGATATTTGGCATGTGGAATGGTAGATACCATAAAGTGAATCGTGGCAAATAAAAGATCACTGAACGGTTAGTATCGGAGGTAGGCTGGTCACCACAGATTTAGAACTCGGGAGACATTAGACCATCCCATGTCAGCTGTAATGATCACCTTACGCTCAGCCTCAGAGACAGGCTATGAATGATTCGGGACAACCATCAAGGCCACCTAGGACTGATTGAAATGTGCTCTGGAGCCTGGACACACTGAATGGTGTTCAGTCAAAAGGGTGTTTGTTTGTTTTACGGTCGTGCTACTTGACAAAGGTGATCGATTACTAACAGTGCATCATTTTGCGATTCGTCTCCTCCGCAAATGCGTCGTAACTGCAATCCGTATTCCTCATAACTTCTCTACTCGCTCTCGGTCACGTATCGGTCTGTGTATGCTGTCAGCTTTCCACTGTCTTCAGATTGAGGATTTGGCCCATCACGGGCATGCGCGAGGCTGCAAATGTCAAAGCGACACGTTTGTCCAGTAGCATAGCTTCCAAAATATACTTTGTCGTCATATGTCAATCCATAGCACCACACATGAACTGGTTTGGGGCAAAAAAGCGCATAGTAGTCGAAGCTGTAGCTGTAAGTTTCCGATGTCATTCCCCTGTCTTTCACCAAATTTGTGCATGACTGACACAAAAAGCGTCAGCACTCACGCAGTAGACTGGTAGGCTGAACAAAACGCAGCATTTTTGTACCGTTCGCGTATCTCAGAGCATACTGCTGTAGCACAGGCGCTTGATTAGGCGTTTGATTAGGCGCACAGTACAGACGAATTATAAAGGCACAAAATACAGGCGCAAAGTACATGCGTTTGATTGAGGCACAAAGTACTGGCGTCTGATTGAGGCGTAAAGGACAGGCGTTTGATTGAGGCGTAAAGTCCAGGCGTTTGATTGAGGCGTAAAACACGGGCGTTTGATTGAGGCGTACGATACGGGCGTATGATCAAGCGTACAACTACGTGTTTGACGAGGAGCATAAAATACAGGCGTTTTGATAAAGTGTAAAGTACAGGCGTATTATACCTCTTTCGAAAACAGTGTACTTTGTATGTTTTTACGCTTTCGCCGCTGTCGTGCAAATTAGGACTAGCTAGAATTCACCGCTGCCTGATCCTGCTAATGTCTTTTTGCGGCACAGGTTTACAAATGCAGGCCTGTGGGAGGGTAACGATGGACATGAGATGAGGCTGCTAAAGCGGTGTATCTCGAAACTGTGTGAGAAAAGAAGTGCATTAATAGAAGACAGTTAAGTATTGACACATCATGTGGCCAGCTTTTGCAGGGTTGATGCACAGGTAGATAGACTGTCACAGAACCAGCGGAGGAGTCGCCACAAGAAGTAAACGAGTGAACTTATTTACACACGCTGGAGTCAAAGACACGAACGATTGTGATTTCTTACATTACAGAACGATCTTGATACGGACACTTGCATTCCGCTTGTCGTTGTGCGAGATAGTAGTACACATATTATCGTTTTCACTAGAGCTCGCAGTGTGTGGAGGATTGAGTGGAAGAGGAAGGTGCGAGATCGTCGTGGAGCTTCCTACATGCATGTCAATGCAGCCGCCTTGTTTCTTAGACATTGGGTAATGGACGAGTATTTACCGCTGACATTCGGTAGTGTCGCGCTAGTGCACAACAGATCATAACGAAGCACTGCTGTCGCAAAGCAACACTTGCACGTGGCGTCGCTTTACAATATCGAGACCCTTGAACACACACTCACTCATGCAGTCAACATGTTGGCTGAATTGCAGTCATCACAAGCGTTCGAAAAGTCGACCACAGTCTTTTGTTGTCAAGCCCGTCCCTTAGAATCAATATGATCATAGCTCGTCGATGTGCGTTACGTCGTCGTCTCGTGACTTGTGGGCTTCATTAGTGCAAAGAATCCTCGTGACTACAGCACGTCTTACTCACATTGCCTCTCAAGGTCCATCGCCGCAGGAATCGATAGTCGCGGAACCCACCCAGACGATGACACATCCATGCTTACTCCGCTCTCCAATGTTTCTTTCAGTGCAGAACGCGGCGAGTCTTACACTTCTTGCTCGTTACTCTCGTCGGCGCACTGGAATCGTTCTCATACGAAACCCTGACGAGCGCTCGGCGGCAGCGGGAAACCAAATAGACGAGAATGGTCATTAACAGTGACAGCACCAAGAAGAAAAGAATGATTCCAAATGGCTGAGGCACCAGCTCGAACAGGATCAAAAGTACGTTGATGAGTGGCCCGGCGAACAATATGAGCATGACGAAAACAGAGCCGAGCAAAAACGAGGCGAAGGCACGGTAGTACTTCGGCCCCATCAATGCCTCTAACACATAGCAGGGATTCCACATTGCGGAGAGGTGTAGGCGATCCACAGGCTCTGGTAAAAACGGAAAGTTGTTAGGCTCACTACGCCCCAATCCGGCGGACCGTACCACCGCGAGATGCTTCGGCAAGATCTCCAACGATACCAGCAGCTCACCCGCGCGCAGCCGGTCACCCGTACGGGAGTCACGAGTTGTTATGGTAAGCCAACTGGCATCTTCTGGATCATCTCCCATGCCCAATCGATGCAAAAACGATTTGACAAGCGACTTGGCATTTTCCATGCTGGCGTCGTCCTCCTCGTCAGTTTCATTGTCATCGTCAGAGGCATGGTTTTCAGAAAGTAACGGCTCGTTGTCCGTGTTCCTTTCGTCACCATCAGAAATAGAGAGGACGACTTCGTCTGAACGAGCAGCTCGCAAGCGAGGAGCGGAAGTGGCGTCTTCTGTAGCAGCGTATCCTGAGCCCCGAGAGGGTTTCTCATACGGCATCATGTCGCTTCCGCGGAAGCGAACTGGCTTCGGTTTGGCAAACACATTTACAGGTTGCCTCGTCTTGAATGCCGTTTTGAGGAACGGCGTAAGGTCCACCACAGAATCAGCAAGGCAATCATCGTAGACAACGTCGCGATCCCACATCTGAAAGTGAAGACAACCCCGATCTGCTTCGCGTTCTGGGTCCAGCGGTAGCTCAATGTCGAACTTCATGCGCCAGTTGAATGACGCGCGTCCGTGCTTCGCTCGCCAATGTGTGTCTGTAATTTGTGACTTGTCGTCACGATTTTGGAGCCAGCATTTCACAAACAGGTCGCTCAGATCTGTGAAATCCCCTGCTGTCACATTCTTTGCTTTGTAAATCACCACACGCACTTCGAACATCTGTGAAGGTGGCAGCGAGATGTCCAGCGGCTTCGCAACTTTCATCTCAGCTCCACTTAGTATGTCCACCCACAGACGAAGGCTGCCTTGCGGAAGTGTGCTAGATGGTGCAAATAGAGAACGAACCTCCAACGGCTTACGACGCTCAGAACAATCAACCCGACCACCAAGATTCTGCCACTTCTCATCAAACCATCGGTCTTCCAGATCGATGAGGGTTGCGCCCACAAAATCATCGCCGTAGACTGTACTTTCAACAGCGGTGCCCAGTGCTTTGCTCAGACCAGTCGGAAACGCTGGTATTGCAAAGAAGTCGTAGTCCAGTACTTCCAATTTCAATTCGGACGCGCCTGGTAAATCGGTTTTGAACTCGTACATCTTGTGGAATTTCGGCGTCAGTGTCTCCGATTGATGGTTACTGCGGTCACTAAAAACCTGCTCATGACGCCGCCCGTCTCCAAGACTCACCCTCAGGTATGGGTCACACCTGTTATTCACGTCCTTTGGAATTAAGTTCAGCGCGTCCAAGACGTACACGCGAATGAGATACGGCCGCGGATTCAAAAATTGATCCAAGTCGAACAGAGGGGGTTCATCGCACGTCTTTAGAATACGTACGGTACCTTTAAACTTACCAACTGAACGGTAATTCATCGAGGACCGATAGCTTGAATCGAATCCGCGGTGTGTTGCCATAGAACCTCGAAAAAGTGCGAAAGTCTCGAATGGAGAGTCCAGCGTGTCTTCCAGTTCACCATTGACGACATCACGCTGATGCATGTAGTGCGGAAGCTCATCTTCGTCATCGTCAAACACGGCAAAACTACTGGGCGGGATCACCTCGGCCGCTGTCCCCTGCTTGCGTGGTTCACCTGACGTCAATACTTCTGCTGGTATACCTGACGACTGTGTACACGGTGCTTCGGAGGTGACTGTGCCTGGGAATGTTGACAGATCGTCGCCGTAATCGACGTACGGATTTTTTCTACGAGCGCTTTTGCTACCCTCGTCAATGTACAATGGATTCGGCTGTCCGTTCGAAGACGGCATCTTTTTGCTTAGGTCCACGGAGCAAACACCAATAACTGGCTTGTAGAATCCGCCAAAGAGTTGATCGTACACCGTTATATTGAGCCGTGGCGCAAAAAGCGCATCAATCGGCATTTTTACTGGAATAACAACTCGTTGCAAGAAGTTCGGGTTTCGACTACTCGGCTTGGAAGATGGATTGGTGAACTTAGGCTGGTTCGTTTTGGTAATTTCGCCAACTTCAAACTTCGCGAAAGGCGTATTAATGGGCGTGAACCCTGTGGGCTGCAAGCCGCGACACCCTAGGCTCATAATCTCCACGAAAGCGTCTTCTGCAGGTGGACGGATGGATTTAGGCGGTTCCACAACAGTTCCAGGCGTGTCTTTTTTGATGAGATCGAACGACAAGAGCAGCTCTCCTTGAGTATCACCAGGTTTTTCGTAGCTTATGGGAAACCACTTCGGACGAGGAGCCGAATACTCGCCGCTGAAACGGGTCTTAGAATAGTCGGATGAAGACATCTGCGGAAATTCTCCTAAACTCAACTTCAGACCTCCGACATAGTCATTTGCATCATAGCGATCCCAGTCATAAATCTGGAGTGATACTTTGGGCAAAAACTTCTCATCCTTAGGTAGCTCGATATCCAGCACGGCCGTCTCATAGAAGCAAGGGTCTCGCGTTGACATTCGTGTACTAACTCGGCCTTCAGATCCGACACAGACTACCTTCACGTACGGGTCCAACAAACCATCGACGTCGGTAGCTGGCAAGCATTTTCCTTGAAAAACATGGACAAAGAGCACATATTTCATGTACTGCACCGTCGTACTCGCATACTGTCGCCAACGCTGCGCAACTTCCTCCTCATTGCGCCTAATCTCAATAGCGTCTTCAAGGCGCAGATTCATCAGAATGTTACCGTTAAAGTCGTGATCCTTGAGCTCATTTAGCACCTTGTCTTCGTTGAGCACAACCCATTGGGGTGGTGCGATAGTCGTTAGTGCATCAGAACCTTGACCAAATAGGTCTTGGGCTTTGAATCGAGCAAAGCAGATACATCGCGACTCGCTCATCGTCTGGCGTACGAGATGTACAAACACGTCAGGTATCTGGTCTAAGCTTGCAGGAAGTTCCACGTCAACGATGTCAAGATACTGGTTGAAGTGACAAATACCGGACAAATTGTGGACCCGCGAGCTTTCGACACTATGACGACCCACTGAAATCTTCAGCGACATCCGGGCATTTCGGTTCCAGTTAGTATTGCTCGTAAAAACAGGAATCTCCGTTCCGTAAAATAGCGCGGCACGCAAAGTGTATCGCTTCATAATTGGCCGAACATCCGTGTTTAGTACAGTCCTCACGTGGGCATCATCGTTTACCGAATGCAACCCATTCTCCGTTCGCAGCGATAGCAAAATACGTCCACGATACATACTGGCGTCTCCAGGGTGGTTCAGCATAGATTGAGAGGAGACCGAGTTGGCGTCGTACCCTACAGGAGGTCCGTACAAGTTGGCCCACACATTCTTGAATAGATCGGGATATCGCTGTACCTGTTTAAAAGAGAAAGGTGGTAAAACGTTGGCAAGAAGTTGGTCCGTTGCGGTCATATCCCAATCCCATACAGACAGGAAGATGTTATCGCTCATGGTCGGCAAGAGTACGGGGAACCACAGCTCTTGATTGTATGTCAGTTGTAGATTTTCGCTTCCCTTCACCGTCACTTTCTTCGTCTCCAGTACGTCTTGGCCAGCGAAATACGCTCGAATGTACCCATCAATTCCTCCATGCATCATCATGCTGTAGTCCATGTCAGGCAGTTCTTCAGCTCGATAAATGGTAATCACTAGGAAACTCAACGTTTGAGTCACGCGTGGAGGAACGAGGACCATGGAACTGATGTCTGCCTTTGTCTTTACCGAACGTTCATCCGGGTCTCTGTCTTCTGCAGCATCATATAGCTTCATTTTGTCCCCGGGTCCTAGCACAACAAGAGAAAGTCTACAAACAAGTAGACAGGCCGTTAATGACACAACCTTTCACCTGCTGACCAAATGGACTTACAAAACGTAGCCCTGGATGGAGTCACTGTTGGTTGTCCCACTACCAACTAGAGCCACCCACTTTCGCTTAAGTTCATGATCAGGCTGGAAGTATACGTATGGGATGTCAACTGAGAAGAAACCCACAAGATCATCAAACGCTCGAGCAACCGCCGGCCGATTAGCGGACGAGCCTGGACCGTCAGCATCAAACACCGATATCTGAATGCTTCCTTGTTGAATCGTTTCTTTGTCGAGATTTCTGAAGTCGAAATACAGGTACTCATCAAACACGCACGAGAGCTGTTTCTGCTTCACCATCGTATGCTTTCGCTGGCCAAGGCACTCGACTGAAACCACGGGGTCGCACAATCCATTGGCGTCCATCGGCTGAAGGTCACGTACTTCAATCACCCGCACCCGAATCTGATAATCGCCTGATTGGAACTGCACTTTTGAAAGCTCAGCGAGCATCTTTTGACGTCCTTCTTCTTGTTGCTTTCGCTTCGATTCAACCTCTGCTTGCTTAGCCTTAATTTCGTCGTCATCCTCACCACCCTCTGTCTTATCGTCTGTGTCCTGGACATGATTTGCACAGCTGTCTTCATCATTGTCTAATGCACCATTCGTTGTACTTCCCGAACCACGCAGCTCACTGTCATCGGGAACCTCACTGACGTTGTCGATCTCTCCTTGCTCGAAGCTGCTGATATCTTGGTCAAGATGTTTCGCTTCAATTGCAAGACAGATTTTACCTCGTCCGCTGTTCAGTTTGCGCTTTAGACTCAAGTCACTGCCAACGTCGGTGCTCTTTGCATCAGACTGTTGCTCCAACGCTAGCCAGAACGTTTGTTTCGCCCCTACAGAGCGCTTCGTGAGCTCGCCCAGATCGACCACGCAGCGCCCCATGAAGCTGCTCGTCAGCAGATCACTGTCTTTCACTGTAAGTTCCAAAAACTGCTTCTTTTCTGGAGTTATCGAGAAGTAAAAACGCTGTCGCCACGACGGATGAAGCGTCTGCTGTTGCGTTCTCGTCTGCTGCGACACGTTCTTCGTGCACGCCACAAGCACGTACGGATCACTGGTAGCCTCAGCGCCTGTGCCATCACAAGCAAGCAGTCCCGTCGCCTCCAGAATCGTCACGACATAGAAATTTGGAGGCCGAGCCGGCTGTTGAGCTACCACTTCATCAGCCTCAGTAGCCGATACACAGCGACCATCACTCCTCTCCACTGCAGCCTCCTCCTTCTCAGCTGCTGCAGGTTTCGCCAGCCCGACACTGCTCTTTGGAGACACTGGAGCCGGTAGCTTCTTAGCTGACTCCGTAGACGCTGCAGCAGTGTCGGTCTGACGTGGCGTCATGTACTTTGGCTCGTACGTCGCTTCAACCACCAGCTCCCCACACCTCTATGAACGAAAAACAAGCACAACAATCGCCCCATATGACAAGAAGAACAAAGCAGAAGCAAACGAAGAAGATGATGAGAAAGTACACGCACCGCTCCTGTAGCGTCCACTAGCGTCAGTTTGTGCGTCGTCTAGAGTCACAACACAGCCAGCGTCAGTCCCAACACACACACACACGTGTATTCCCTTCGTCTCTCCCGCTCGTTCTCGATCGATCGATCGCTGCTGCCACGCACCTCCGTCTCTGGCGTCAGCGTCGCGATCTCAAGCGCGGCACTGCCCAGCAGCACGTCCCTCCCGCGCTCACTCATCCCAAAGACCGTCAAGTTCACAGCAGCTCCCAGCGGCTTCTTGACACCAAATGTAAAGTGCTGCATCCACTGCGGCGACGTCGTCTTGACCTTGGCCGCGGTTCGTAGTACCACGTCACCGCATTGCGCCTGGCAGTCTAAGACACGATCAACACGTAAAGGAAAAGCTCGGCTGCGTTAAGCGACTCGAGACACGTACGTACGTACAGGGATCGAAAGTCGCGCTGTCGGTTGCTGCCTGAGCTGCGCCCACGCCCGTAGCGCCGATCACCACGAGACGCACACGCGGCGTCACGACGTCCGCCATTATTTCCTTTCCTTGCTGTCCCTTTTTTCTTGCTTCCTTTCCTTGCTTTCCTTTCCTTTCCTTGCTTTCCTTTTCTGTTCTTGGTTTCCTTTTCTGTGCTTGGTTTCCTTTTCTGTGCTTGGTTTCCTTTCTTTTGCGCGAAGATCGCGGCGGGGCCCTGATTTCCTTTGACTCGGACCACTAGCCAATCACAGCGCAGCAGAGTGATGGTCACTTTGATGGACCTCACATGTTTGCCCCACGTCCAAACATGTCGGGGCGTCGACGCTGGCTGTTGCTGTGGCTGCTCGTGGTCGTCGCCGCTTCGGAGCGAGCGCCTCGTGCTGATAACGGCGACCGGCTCGTCACTATCACGCTTGTGGACGGCACAACGCGTGAACTGACGACCGGCGAGTTCGAAGAGCTGGCGACGCAGCGCGCTGAGAGCCAGAAGGAGCAGCTGGACAAGAGCGACGGGGCGCACTGGCGACACGCCGAGACGGCGCATCTGGCGACGCTCGACCCGTCGTTGGCCTTGCACATTAAGCTGGCGAGACGCGCGTTCGTCGTGCTGCAACGTCATGGGTACGCTCAGGGGTACGCGCTGTCCGGTTTCAGTGAACAAGAGACGAGACAGGCCGCGTCCGACTATTACGTGGAGCTTGTGCTTGAGGCGACAAGAGACGAGACGAGTGGCGTTGAAGCCAAGACGGGCACGGGCACGAGGAGAGACGCCGACGGAGGGAAGGAGGAGACGCCGCTGCGGCTGGAGGTGCAGCTGCTCCTGGACGGCCAGCGTGAGTGGCACAGCTTGCTTGCTTGCTGGGGGTGCGGGGGGAGGTGACGGTTGACTTGGAGTTTGTATGCACTCCTGTGATTGTTGCGGTGTTTGCTCTTGTGTGACAGAGCGTTTCTCGGTGCTTGCTGCATGGGAACTGAGCGACGAGGAGCCGCCGCGAGGACAGCAGAGGCGGTCGCGGCTGATGCGGCTGTCGATTCAGCCGACAGTTGCCATGCTGGAGCGAGAGGCGGCGCGCGAGCGGAGCAAATCGGCCGTGGCAACGTGGCTCTTGGCCGGCGGGTTAGGGCTCGTGGCGGCGGGCGTGCTTGTCATGTACAACACGCGCAATCCGATGCCGACGGTGAAGCCGCGACGTCGGTCCCGTGACGTCTGGGAGCTCGTGGACGAGAACGACCGACCGATCAAGATGGACAAGCGCGACGATAAGAGCAAAAGGGAGTGAGTGATAGGAGGGAAGGAGGGAGGGAGGAAGTGTGGGGAAGGTGATAGGGGATGGTGTCGTCTGCTCATGCATCTGCTGTCTGCAGCTTTTGCAGCTTGTCCAGTAGTAACTGACTCAGCATTGCAGTGGTCGGTCGGTCTGTCGGTAGGACCTTGTCAAACGCAACGTGGTCGGTCGTCAATGGATCGGTCGGTTGGTCGGTCGGTCACATGGCTACATTTCTATCGTGTTGAGTTTACACTACCGTACACGACGCTGCAATTGAAGCGCAGATACAGCTGTTGGGCACAGGCGTGACGCCCCTGCATCAGACTGGTCGGAGCGCTCATGTCGCATAGGTAAAGTCGTACGCGCCCGCATCTCTCTCCGGCCTACGCGCTGATTGGGTGCTTGGTCGTGTCTTGTTTCTACCAATGGGGATGGTTTCTCCACGGTATACTCGAGCCAAGTGACGCGTTTCTCCGCCTAATCAGACGAGCGGCAGCCAGTCACCACTTCTCATTTGACAATGGCGACGCTGAGCGTCGTGGTCACGGGCTTCGGTCTCGTGCGCAACGGCCCACAGCAGCCCGACTGCGCGGTACGCTCTTCTCTATACTGCAGCTGTACATCCTACACCAACGCTATCGATCGCAGACCTCTCACGTGTCATATTCGATGTTATTTGACAGGTTTTCCTCGGCACGGTCCATCAAAGCAGCAGCCACAGTAGCTCCTGGACCATTTACCGCCCGTTTGAAGCGTTCCAGCGTCTGGGCCAGCAGCTGAGCATGATCTTTGGCCAGATGGTGCCGGTGTGTCCGCCCCGTCTGTTCGACGTGCGCTTCCCCGACTCGCTCGAGAAGGCGCGACTGGACCTGAGCATGTGGATGCTGCAGCTCCTGCAGCACGTGCCCATTTACCAGTCGCACGTGTTTGTGGACTTTGTCAGTGCCGACGCCAATGTGCCGCCACCTGGACTACAGCAGGCCACGGCCTTGGGTCCTACTGCAACTGCTGCAGCGCGCGGCGGCGGGAACATTGGCGACCTTGATATGGACGAGATGTTTCACTCGACGACGGACGACGATCCGCGCTCGCACGACGAGCTGCACGATGATGATGTACGTGCCGTTATTGTTGTTGGGGGTTATAGGTTTGTAAAGGGTATTAAAAGCTGGAGGTTTTTGTTGGTTCTTGTGCTGCGGTTTTCTGTACATTCATAGATGTTCCAGTTTGACTATAGCACAGACATGTCGGGTGCTGGGCTGGACCAGCAGACGCTGCTGGAAGAGACGCAGCTGCAACATGCGCAGCAGGTGCGTGAGCAGAAGAAGAGCGAGAAGGTGACGTTGGAGGACTTTGTCATGATTAAAGTCATTGGCAAGGGCAGTTTTGGCAAGGTGCTGCTCGTGCGCAAGCGAGATACGGGACTCATTTACGCCATGAAGGTGCTGCGGAAAGAGAACATAATCAAGCGCAATCAAGTGGAACATACACGCACGGAGCGTCACGTGCTGGGTTACGTGCGGCATCCGTTCATTGTGGGCCTTAATTACGCGTTTCAGACGTCGGAGAAATTGTACTTTGTGCTCGACTATTGCGCTGGAGGAGAGTTGTTCTTTCACTTGGGCAAAGTCCAGCGGTTTCCCGAACACCGTGCGCGCTTCTACGCTGCCGAAATTACACTGGCGATCGAGTACGTGCACAATTTGGATGTGATCTACCGTGATTTAAAGCCGGAAAACGTCTTGCTTGATGAGAATGGACACATCCGGCTGACGGATTTTGGTCTCTCGAAGGAAGGCATTCAGGACGATTTCTCGGGAGCCAATTCGTTCTGCGGTACACCCGAGTACCTCGCGCCTGAGATTTTAAACCGGTCGGGTCACGGTCGAGCTGTGGACTGGTGGTCGCTTGGAGCATTGCTGTATGAAATGCTGACGGGGCTGCCTCCGTTCTACTGCCGTGACCGCGATCGGCTGTTTGAGAAGATTCGCAAGGGTGATCTGAGTTTTCCCAAGTACTTGTCACCGAACGCCAAGGACTTGTTGAAAAAGCTGCTGGAACGCGATCCGACGGGACGCCTAGGAACGGGCCCGACCGATGCTGGCGAGATTAAGAACCATCCATTCTTTGCAGAAATTAAGTGGAATGCGCTTGCTGGTGGGCAAGTGCCACCCCCGTGGCACCCTACGTTTTCTGGTGCACTTGACACGTCTCAGTTCGATCGCGAGTTCACGGATATGCCCGTGGTAAGCCCGGATAATCAGGTGCGCGGTATGGCAATGTCTATGGGGCGACGATCCGGCACTGCGTACGGAAGCAGTCTAACAGGGAACGACCCGTTCAAGGGCTTTACTTACACTGAAGATTCCTACCTGCAAGACGGTTTGCCAGGCCATAGCCCTGGCATACGTGGAAGCGGTCGTGTGCGGCACCACAACATGTAACAAGGTGTGTGCAGGAGCTCAGCTGGCTTGATGTTTGTTGCACCACAAAAAAATGAAACAGGGGTCAACAGCAGCAGGAGATGCAGAGAATGAGTTGGGCACACAGGTCGTCCGAGCTTTTTGCTCTTGAATACCAACAAGACGGATGCTTTTGACATGCTCGGGGGACGACCGCTGCCGGCACCCACCCTCCCTCCCTCAGAATGTAGGACAGAAGAACAGATACGATGACAAAGGGTATGTACATATATTTGCCAAATTTTCATTGCATCTGACTATTGCTAGAAGACCTCGAGCGTTGTTAGGAGGTTTGTTGCGGACATCTGGGGCTCAACTTGGTATCACTTTGGCAGGCATCGAGGCAATAAGGCGTATTTCAGATATCACGTGTTGCTTGCGAAGATATTTGATGAGTATGTCAAGTCCCGCATTGCTTGTCTGTATACCGCAGTTGTTTGATTTGGCAAAGTTTGTACGACGTTTGCTGTCGAATAAGCACCGTCCTGACCGGCAGCTGACTGTATCACGCTGTATCTCACAGAGCAAGGTAATTATTACACGAACCTGATCAAGCGTGTTTTGTGAAGCAGGCGCTAAAGCTGGCACTAGCAGTATGTGCGCCAATCATCCGCTAGCATGATTGGCGCAGAGACTGCTGGTGTTAGCATAGCGTCAACACAGTGAGTGCATTTATTTGGCAACCTATGCCAGCAATGACGGTTGATATGGAGACAGATTTCTGGTGAAGAAAGTGAGCTGTGAGAAATATACGTCAACTGAGGATTGTCGAACTTTAGGAGGCAGCCAACCGATTCGAGCTCAAGCAACCTGAGCATACTGAAAACTCGCTCAGGCCTTACCGGTGAGTCTTGCGATGACTTTGGTATTACATCCGTGGTCGATGATAAACATTCCACAAACGTCTTGTGCACCAAATCGACAGCGCTTTGTAGCTTTGGGATGTCAAGCGAGGTGACAGAAGTTTCGTCACCACATTTCTCACGTTCCGCCTCGCACCGAAAGCCATACTCCCGTTGAATAGCTGACCTAGATGCCAACAGCTTGTACAAGCCAACACACAAGTCAGAAAGCAAGATTTGAACGTCGAGGGGTCTCTTATGCGAACCCAAACTTTATAATCATGTCCACAAGTGAATCCAGGTTGAAGCAGTGTCTCCATAAGCCTTAGAACTTCCTTCGTTGATGACTGTTGCATCGGACAAATCTCCCACTATTAGTTCAGTTATCTTCGCGATTGGTCGCATTCTTTACTGAGTGCTTCGACTTCATATTTTGAGCCGCAGTTGCAGTTCTCCCTTTCTCTACTGAGTCGTTTGACTTCGTCAGCTCTTGAGCAACAACAGACTTGGACGTGTACACACTGAGCTCTTGAGCAACATACTTGGACGCGTCAACATTGAGCTGGATAGCTGCAACGACTTAAGGAGTCAAAGAAGGCGTGAGAAAAACCTTGGGTGACGAGTAGCAACACAAACTTCATTAACGTCGATCAGGACGTTAGCGTGCCCCAGAGATAGGTGTAGACGACAATGGGTACGAGCGGAGCTTGCTCATATGTGCATGGACCGCCTTGTATCGAGAATCGCAAAATGAAGAAGAAATGCGGAGATTTTGATGGTTGCAGTGATTTTACATCTCCAGCTGCTTCTCCGAACGTACCGCGTAAGCAGAATAGGTCTCGGTAGCTTCTTGCAAGTACTTACGCATGACATTGAAAGTCCAGCCATACGACTGAGATCGAGTGGTGGACACTACCCCGTCACCTTCCGGTCGATAGGACATCCGATTCGTCGATGTGATTAATTCACGGCTTCGTGGCTAGGTTTTTATCCTCTCATCTTGTGGTAACAGAGCCTTTTGCCGACACGGTTATCGGCTCTGTGCACCTGGAAAGCATATGGTGCATCAAGCAAACATGATCAAAGCATTGGCGGGCAACAGCTGTAACATGTAAGCAGTTTCTTACGTATTACACGGATATACTTGTAATCTATTACTTTTGCAAATCAAATATGCGGTGCCGCTTACCTTGCCTAAATAACAAGGTAGGATAGACAGTCAGCAGCAATTATTCAAATTGCCGAATAAAGTGAGCAGAGGGACAGTATTTCATGCAGATGTGGGTACGTGAGATGCCATCACGAATCGATGAATGCAGCACTTGATAGAAGATCCCTCCATGGATTTTGACTGACATCGTCCTGTTTCCACGTAGCTGCTGCCAGCTTATGTACTGTTGCTTCGTTCAGTCATATTTCGATCGCCTGCATCTCGGTTCTCTCTTTTACAATTCGTCACGGTTGTTATTCCTCGCCTTTTTCAACAGGCAGCGGCGCAGATATACAAATGTGACAGGACATCTACAATGCAAATGTAAGTGCTTTAACCTCACCTTTTACGCTTCGAGTCTACAAATTCTAGCCACTGCAAGTGCGTGTTAAATGCTGCTTGGATATCACAAAACCAAAACAAGGCTTTTTACATACAAAACAGACCGCCAACACACTTCTCCTATCAATCGTCACTTTACGCTGTGCCACTTGCAGAAGTCTATATATCGTCGTGATTGGTGGCCAGCAGCGTTGGGTTCTCTCTCATTTCGTATAAAGGTAACAATTAAGGTCGTACGGCTTGCAAGATTTCGACTTTTCGTATTGAGAGCCTGACGGTGTACACTTACGATACTGTGTACAGATGTGGACTTGTTATGGTTGTATGCAAACACGTAATCGGATCAGCAGAGACCTAGTGGTGTTGTCAAGTAGTTCACTTTGTAAGCAACGTTAATGTGACATTAGTAGCCCGATTCCCTTCCAATCAAGTTTTTTTTTGACACAATGCGTTTAAAACAGATATATCGTGGCATGGGACCTGTACTTCTACTTCTTGGAAGCACTGCTGAGGCAAACACCGACTGTGTAACGGCATAAGCCTGTCACATGTAATTAACCCTTGATACTTGTTAATTTAAATATTATCATAAAGGTAGATAATTTTAGTGAATATTGCCACAAGGGGTAATATTCATAAACACTTCCGGATTGGCTGATATGGATCATTATATTAGCCAGCACTTGAGATCCAATCAACGATGAAAGCGCGCAATGGGTGGTGAGCAAAATTGTAGCATACATTGTTGTCGATAACTATAATTAAGTTAGGACTAAAATTAGGTGAGTGACTATGATTAATTATGTTTACTGCAGTTTTTAAAATTACCAGCCACTAGTCAGTTTCTAGTTGCTTTCCCTTCCTCTGCGTAGTTACAGAGGTAGCGAGGCACCACTCACGCTGCTGTCGGTTATCGTAGCTCCACACTGGTTGTCCATGTTGTTGCTCTAATGCCCCGTTATACCTGGTAGCACTTTGTAGTCCGTTTAAGGAGCACAAAACTCGTTAAACATGAACACGTTGGATAAGAAAGGCAACGACTACCTTCACAGCACCCGTTAAGGTCACTCGTATTTGAGTGGTGTCGAATATAGAGCGGCCGAACGTATGAGCTCGACCGTTGGAAAAGAAGCTGTCAGGTCTCCGCTATTATCAAGGGAGAGGTACCAGCAGAATTCCATAATTGCTAAGTTCTTGCAACGAGAACTTGACGCGTCACGAGTTGAGGTGACCCTGCTGCATCAGCACACTCACCAACAGACTGAGAAACTGATTAAATAAAACTCTTAGTATTCTACTGCAGCGTCGACATGTGAGCGTGGACACGGTACTGTAATGGTATAGTTCTACGATCACCGGGGAGTCGGGGAAGACTCCCGGTTGAGACATTTTCTTATAATGGACGATGCCGATAAGATTCGCCACATCGACGATGAGGAAATACGAGTTGCTGTTGCCGAATCGAAATTTTTAGGGCGTGTCAGCACTAGGGTCTATGAATCTCTAATCACACAATCCAAACACGTTTTGATCGCTGGCGGTCTTTAAGACTCTGCTCAAACATACGTATGTGCCGTCAAGAGCTGATTAAGGACTCTTTCAGAGCTCCTAAAGACAACACATTGTAAGCGTGACGTTCACGATTACAATCAGCACGTTTTTTACCTTGCAAGTTGCAAGGTGGTGATCCCTGTAAGCATGTTCGTGTTGGTCACGAAATCTTTGCAGGGCATTACAGATGGTCCCGTGAGGAAGCACCTGTTCCGCATCGAATTGAAGTCTCTTGAGGAAGAGATTAAAAACTGCAGTGCTCAGGGAATTAAGTGTGAAACATGCTCACATTAGCTTGACCCCTTATCGTCCTTCGAGACGAGTTGAGGTGGGAGTCCCAGAACCAATAGCTGTTAAGGCGGGAGGCCCAGAACAAATAACCTCTGCAGTTTTAAAGAGAGCTCGATCTACAAACAGTAATCAATTGCAAAAGTGCAACCGCTACCAAAAGTCAGGGAAATACGCCTACTAGTGTAATGATTCACGCACATTGTCTCGAAACGATGAGCAACGTTATCGACCGTATGCCAAGAAGGGCAACGGGCGTAAATCCGAAGCTTTTGTAGAGTCGCAATAGCGTGGCGGACTGTAAAAAATCTTCCGGGTCAGTAGGTGCGGAGCGCTTAACTGATTTAGTAACGTTAAGTGAATTGCAGGCCTCTCGATGAGAATTGCTTTTAACACACAATCGTTGTGTACTATTGCTTCTGTTTATGAGTTTTTCCTCATTATCTTGAAACTTGAAGTGGCTATGTCACTGCAAACTCTAATCGATTGTGGAGCATTAAACAACTTTGTAAAAAGCCAATCGCTGGACAATAGCGAGCTCAAATATATTGAGCGAGAATTCTTTTAAAAGAGGATGACGGTACGTTTCTCGACAGGCGCATCCGTAACAGAGGTAATTGTGTAAAAGTGATCTTATATACACTGAAAGAAGTCCAATACGAAGATGACTTCATCGTCTTGGACTTGGACAAAAGTTTGTTGCTGTCTTTGCTTAAACGTGGCTCAGAAGGTACGATCCACGAGTCAGT